AATGCGTCAACAAAAGTAACATACTTTATGTGATCTTGTAATGCCACCTGAAAATCAAATGCATCTGACCGTTCTAGGAAACCCATACCAATGAATGCATGTCGTCCTAATGATCGATAACTGTTACTTTCGCGAAGTTTAAAATTGTAAATCATATACATATAAACAACCTACCTTTGTCTTCTACACGTAAAACAAAATATCGACTCGAATCCCGAACGGGTTCAACTGAATTACTATTAGGATCATAAGGACATTCGGCGAATAATTCACCTATCAAAATATCAAAAAAAAAAGATTAAGCATATTTTATTTATAATTACAATTAAACGAATTCATACCCGTAGTTCCGTCCTCAAGTCTTATAAAACATTTTTCTCCAATAACAATTATTCTTAGCCGCCCTTTCCAGAGATATGCTTGTAAATCCCCCCATTCTTCGGCTCTATCTTTTCACGAATTTTACAAATAAACATTATTTATATAACACCTCATAATTCTAAGCGGCTTAACCTAATTTTGCCTGCATGCTTGCCTATACTCTTTACTAGAATTCCTAGGTGGCAATTTGTATACTAATAAAAAAGTAAATATTATATTAATATGCTCCACTCAAATTTTGATAACGTTTTAAAAAGAATCTAGTTCTCACCGAAGCATTCGCGGATAACAAGTAATACACTTTCGTAATCGTCCATATTTTAACCTTCCCTTAAATGATGTGCATAGCGGTTGGGGTTGTGATCTTTTATCCGAATTTGATCCGAATTATGTCTGATTTATGTATATAGTCACATGGTTTAAGCCTTAATTTCTTTTAATGCAGGCTAATTTAAAGTCGAACGATTGGGTTTTCGAATTTAATCATGTAAATTACATGATTGTTTTTATGTAAAATTCTATTTAGCATTGCATATAATATCATTGGTTCCTGCTAACAACCAATAAGAATGCATCAGCCTAACAAAACCAAGTGATGAAACAACTCGTAATTGATACGACAACTATGCAGAAGTCCCCAGGCTTAGAAATAACAGGAACTTTGTCCAAACCACGAAGAACTTCAGAAGTTGATTTGAATCAAAATTATAGAACGATACTAGCGTCATCATTTTAAAACAAAATACATTATATAGAAATTGTCATTGTAAAAGTTTTTACATATGATAACATGCACATGCATGTTTTACTTTCATCGATATAAACTTATTTATAAAAAAAAGATGGGAAGCGAACACTCATCATTGTAGAAAATGTGCTGCGATAAGTGTTTAGTTCACAATACTCATGATTTTTAGTAGGTAACTTGGAGAGATAAATTTATATTGTGTAATCAATGCTCTGACAAGAGGAAAAGTTTGTACATCGTGACTTTCATCCTGGAAATATATTAATGCGTAATAATCCTCAATTTGCGTACTTCCTTATATGAATCCAGAGGTGCTAAATGGAAAGCCATATACTTATACGCTGCTATTTATACGAAATTGTTGGTGAACTAAAGTCATGATATGCAATTAAAAAATGTTGGGATCCTATTCAAAAAACAGACCAACTGCTTAGGGACTTTATGATTTCATATCAATGGTGATTGGAAACCGAGTAGGCTGCATTCTCATTACTACAGCTCGTTAGAAAATCCTAAAACCATGAAGAAATTAAAGAGTTTCTGAGAATATAAACTAGATGAGATGAAATTAAAAAATGGATTTCTACGATTCGAATGATTTACTACAAAATTAAATATGTCAACTCATTTATTTAATTCAATCAAAATGACATACGTTCCAATTGAAGGTAAAATTCACTATATGATATTATTTCGTCAATTTCTTTAATCATTAATTCCATTATTTTCTTTGATGGTTAGATATTAACGAAAAAATCGAACTTTCATGTTATCTTTTCGCTACAAAATTTTTATCTAATTTCCATTTGTAGACAGATAGCTTTATATACATTTAGTCGTCATATCAATATAACGCGACACGAATTTTACACGTAAAGTTACTCATACACATTATTAAAACCATTTTATAAAGTGACCTCTATAACGGAATCTGTAAATCCGTGTGTTTATGATTGATTATTAATATTGAGACAATGAAGAAATTAATATGGTGTTGCGTTGAAGTGGTTACGTAATTCAAAGCAGTGTTTATAAATGAGGTATAAACGAAACATTTCTAAAATAATTTGCTTTTAAGTTTTTTAAGAACTGCTCTATTATGATAGCTAAGGATCCAGCTAAAAATGAATACTCGATAGTAATGGATAGAGATTGGACGCTTAACCGGAGGGAATATCCATTCAGGTGCAACAGCAGGTGTAGTTCAAATGGACATATATTCAAAAAATTGGACATACGTATAACTTGCCAACACTGTTCGTGTTAAAAATACCGTTGCGTGATAAATTAACTATTGGATAACAGTTAAATCCTTTATCTAATCGAATTATGATTAATTCAATAAAAATGAAATCTTTCCCCGTTTATTTGATTCTTCTGGCATGTTT